TGGAGTGAGAAATCACTTGTCAAGACACAGCGCTCACAGTGACCCCAGGCGACCTACCTGCGTGCCAGTGTGGTACTTGAGCAGGTAGACGGCAAAGTGGATGTGCAGGTAGAACTCCAGCTTCTGTGCCCCGGGGTCCCCATCCCGGATGGCTCGCGGGATGCACTCCTCCCACAGGCGGAAGAACGCCTTCTGGTCCCCACAGTCAAAGGCAGCCAGGAGCTCCTTCTGCAGGGTACAGCACGTGAACCCCACTGGGAAGGAGCCTGCTTCTCCCCGCACCCCGCGCCCCAGCCCACCAGGCCTGCAGTGCCCTACATACCCCGCTGCAGAGCTGAGGAAATGGGGGCCTGGGAGAAAATGAACAAAGAAACAGCTGAGTTAAGTTGAAAATGAGCCACATGGGCCTGACGGGCAGCTACAGAATACTCTACCCACCAACTGCTGGCTACACATTTCTATCATCACCACAGGACATGATCTAGGATAGATGGTACAAGAACTAGAAAACAGGCCTAAGTAAATAGAAAGGAAAATATTATGGAGGGTCTTTTATGACCAAAGGTGACCAGAGCTACAGACCAGCACCAGGAATAGAAATGTGTGCAAGTAGGAAGGCAGGCTGATGCACAGAGAAGAGATCTTCCTGAAAAACCAGAATGGAGGAAGAAACCAAAACTGAAATTTAAAATAATTATCTAGTCAAATTAAATGCGTAGAAACATGCAGATACCTAGTGAACCCACCACATCCGTCCGTACCAAGAGGCAAGCTTAGAACAATCAAGGAATAACCCATGCCTGAGGTCCATAGCCAGGTGGCCCTTCGCGGGGCCCAGCCTGAGCCCTCTGAGGAGGCATGCAGCACAGCCAGTGGACACAGACACCCCGGGATCTGTGGGTCACAGCATGCAGTGACAGAGGCCTCCTCCTGCCAGGCCTGGTTAGGGAGCCCTGCAAACGGCAGGGACTGTGGCACAGAGAAGCCTGAAGGGGAGGAGACAGTCCTTGGGCTGCACTATCTTTCTGACTAGACTGAGATCTAAAACCTGCTCTACTGTGTGAGGGTCACAGCCCCCACCCAGCACCCCCGTATCTAGCCACTGTTTAGTACAGTTTAAGAGCAACCCCCATTTCACCTCCATGCGTGACTGTTACTTGCTAGGTTACTTGTCCTGTGGCTCATCAAGCTGGTGCACATCATAGAATGGAAACGTCTGGATAACAAGTGAGCTCACACCCTCTGGTCATGCTCCAGTCGGAGGCACCTGGGTAAGGGCATCTACCATGTGCTATGGAAGCTCCGTACTCCCACCTCCAGCCCATGAGCCATTGGGGCCCTCGCGCTCCCTCATTAGAGTGGCACCAAGCACAGACCCCACAGTATCTCAAAGTTTACAGTCACAGTGCCTTCCTCTTCATGTATGTGTCCCCGAGACTGAATGCCACAGCTGTGTCATTAGAATCACATCCGTGGCCCGTGATGGCTCATGATTCACATCAAATGATTCTTTGCATTTTAAATAACCCCTCACATAGAGCATTCTGCTGTTACTGCACTGTCACACCGTAACGATCCTCTGCATACCAAAGGCAAAGCCAGCGTCCCCAAGACCAGCAAATGTGGGCACTAGCACTCATGACCATAAACACACCCTTCAGCCTGTGCCTGGCAACGCTGGGCATCAGAGGGCACCAGCAGAGCGTGACCTGCTGAAACCTGCCTTTCTGAGTATTTAAGGCAGGGTCTCACTATTCAACTAACTCTGAACTCACAACATAGACCAGACTCAAGCGACAAGCAGGCCTCCTGCCTCCGCCCACCACGCCGAGCTGCAACACTCCTCTCTGTCTGGGTAATCCATTGTGTTGCGCACACCTCTTGAATGGAGAAGCAGAAAAGAGGCACACGTGACCGCCACAAAGTGCCAAGCTCTGTCATATTAATGAAAAGTGGATCCCAAAGCTCCAAAGAAATGCAAATCAGAAGACGGGTACCAGAAAAAAAAGGGGGGGGATAGCTCAGCAGTATAAGCACCTGCCTGGCAAGCACAGGGACTTGGGTTTGATCCCCAGCACCACATGCCGTGCCGGCCACTGAAACCAGGCATTGTGGCGCACACCTAGAATCCCAGCACTGGGAAGGCGGAGACAGGAGGATCACTACGAATCTGAGCCGCATAGTGAGACCTGTACCAAATAAATAAATACGTACATAAATAAATTAGGATAGATATACAGCTACTTTTGCTTAATTCAGTGAGAAGAAAGAGGTGTACTAATAGTGTTTGGACAGGATATCCTGTCTGCTTCTTGTACTATGGATAACCACTAAGAAGATAACAGTGTACGATGTATTAATTATTGAAACTGTCCTATTAATCAGTTTTGAAACTGTCTCATTGATACTTGTTTCTCAATAAAATAAAATAAAATTAAAAGAAAAAAAAAGACAGTACCACACTTCAAACCCTTTGGGATGTTACTATCCAAAACAAAACAGAAAATAATGAGTGGTGAAGATGCGGATAAAATGAGCCCTCACACTGTCTGTGGGGGTGTAAATGGCACAACTATGGTGCCAAACAGCTTGGCAACTCTTTAACAAACTAACAATGCAACTAACTGCTGGCATGGTGCCGAATGTCTGCAACGTCAGCACTCAGGAGGCTGAGGCAGGAGCATCATGAGTTCAAGGCCAGCCTGAAATATATAACATGACCTGTCTCAAAACAACCTCCCACCCCAGATGAAACTACAGTATGGCCACTTCTGGGTATGTATCTGTGAAAACTGAAAAGGCCTCGGAGAGATATTTGGACACCTACAAGGTATGATTTAAAAAAAAAAAAAATAGGTAAACCAGGGTTTTGAAGGTTCTGTTTCTTACAGTAAGAGACACTGCCACGAGGCCCTGCTTGCTTCAGACGCCTTCTCCCAGCGTTCTTACCACTCTCTGAAGCACCTGCGAGTCCTCTTTCATGAATGTCTTTGCTTGTGCTGCTCTGGCCGCCTTGATGTCCCGAATTAATGTGAAACAGCTCCCTTCATGGTCATTTTGACATTGGGGAGGGGTCAGGAGTCACACAGCACTGGACCCCCTGAGCAGGGAGGCTGAGAGTGCACTGTGATATTTTTATTTGACAGAAATTGCCATAAACGTTTGATCAGTGAAAGATAATTTAAAATCTTTTTTAAGAATCTTTTATTTCTTTATTAATTTGGTACAGGGTCTCACTACGCAGTTTGGACTTCTACTGATCCTCCTGTCTCAGCTTCCCCAGCTCCAGGATTACAAGCGTGTGCCACTATGCCTGGTTTCGCTGGCCAGCACAGCTCAGGGCCAGCACGGCATGTGGTACCA